CTGCGCCGGGATTGGGGCGGGCGCGGGGACAGCGGCGGGAGGGGGCTGAGGCGCGGGGAGGGGGCGAGGCGAGCGCTGTCAGCGCGATTATAAGGGAAAAGTTGCCCGCGGAGAGCCGGGCAGGCGCACGCTCGTACGGCGGCCGCAGCGGCTGGGCGGGGCCGCGGAGCAGCGAGTGGCGGCGGAGGAAGTCCCCGGGAACGCTCCCTTCAGAGTCTCGCTGTGGCCTCAGCGAGGTCCCGGGTTCGCTAGGACTTTTGCACGCAGTCATGGGTGGCGTCGGGGAGCCCGGCCGGGGACCCGCGCAGCCGAGGGCGCCTCTGCCCACCTTCCGCTGGGAGCAGATCCGCCCGCACAACCTGCCGGGCGACAAGTGGCTGGTCATCGAGCGTCGCGTCTACGACATCAGCCGCTGGGCACAGCGGCACCCCGGGGGCAGCCGCCTCATCGGCCACCACGGCGCTGAGGACGCCACGGTAAGGTCGCCCACAGCTGGCAGGGTGGAGCGTGGCGCTCGCTAGGGCCTGCCCCACCCGCCGGGCCGTAGCATCCTACCTTCTCTGTGACCTTTGACCTCCCGGCTAGGGACCCAGAGTTGGGATGGACTAGCCGGGGCTTGATGTGGAGTTAAGAGGCGACGTCCTGGCGTGAGGACCCGCAGACCAGGCCATGGACCAGGGCTGGGCTGGAACAGATCCGTGCGGGGGGGAAGGGGCTCTCAGAGGTGGGTGTGTCATGGCAGCAAGCACTTGCCCTAGATGAGAGCCCTCCCTGATGCTCGGAGGTTCCTCCTCTCAGTTCTGGGTCTCCCAGACCCGATTCCTCGTGCTGGGTGCTTGCTGGATGCCAGCGGTAGGGCGGGCTCCCCACAGGCTGGCAAGGAGGTGCCATCAGAGGCTGGAGGCTGGGCAGCAAAGCTTGGGCAGGGCCTGGAGGTCTGTGGCTTTCCCAAGAGCTGCTGTAAATGGCGCTGAGGGGCAGTGACTCACCTCTCCTGGGCTGGCAGCTGCATGTGGGAGAATTTTGCCAGCCAGGCTGGGAAGGGCCTCATCGCGAACCATAGTCACCCCAGGAACAGGCTGGCTTCTGTAGACCCCAACTTCCCCTTTCCAGCCATGTCTAGACATGTCTTGGTTAAGGAGGAAAGTGGTCTGTCCAGTGGGACCATTTGGCAGAGCAACTATCAAGACAAGACTCCTACCAGCCCCTTTCCCACAGTCCCCCATCTGGGCAATAGGACTTGGGGCCATGATACTCTGTCCTTGACCATTCAGAATTCTGGGTTGGTCACACTGGGTATCAGGAAGGTCTTTGAGATTCCAGGAGAGGAATCCCTAACGGGCAAACTTTAGATAAGAAAAGAGATTATGTCTGATCCCTGAAGGGGTCAGTGTCCCTGTTGCTGGGACTCTCTGCTCCCTGCCTGCTGCCTTCTCCCATGGGTTGGGCGAACTTCACGAGACTCTTTAGGGGAAAAAGTCTCTCTTCCTCATTTTCCCTCACCCCAGGAAGGTGAGAGGTTAGGATCAGAAACCTCCTAAAATTCTAGAAACTGACAGAAAGCCTTGTGCGAGGTGCTGAGGGGCCAGGCGGTGGCCACGGAGTTGAAGCTGACTGTGGGCCAGTGAGTGCGTGAGTGTGTCCAGGCCCACACGTGCGTGAGCGCTGGACATGTTTTTGTGTGTAGTTACACGCGTGTGCATTGCTGCCGGCGTGTGGGGGGATGTAAGGTGTCAGAGCCCCTCCCCTTCAGCCGGGCTGAGTCCTGGCCACCCCTCCAGGATCCCAGGGGTGACTGCTCTGGCCTTTTTCAACCTCTGACCTGAAGGACAGGATGGAGGCTGGTGAGAGGAAGACCATGGAGGATGTTCATCGCTATTTCCTGCTTGGTGCCTGGGCCTGTGCTGGGGGTCCTTATGTGTGGAAACCTCGTCGTACCTTTAGCTCTCAACCCCGAGACCTCCACATGCCAGTTTTCTCATTGATTCATCATCAGTAAGGTCTGTTTTCCCATTTCCATTAAGACACCCTGTCTGTTCCCTGGGGCAAGGTCCTGGCTCTGCCACTGGAGGCTCTGAATGACCTTGAACCAGGCATGTCACTCTTTGAAGCCTCAGTTTCCTCACTTGTAGAGTGGGAACAGCTGAGACAGTGAGCTGGCTAAGGGCAGGACTGTGCCTTCGCAGCTCTGTGGCCCCAGAGCTGCCATGTAGTTGTTCCAGGTCACTGTATGTTGCCGGCTGATAAGTGTGAGTGCTCTGCAGACCGCAGAGTGCAGTGGACAGCCATGGCATAGCCATTCCTTTGCTGAGTGACCTTATCTGGTTTATTCACGTCTGTAGCAGGAAAGAGTTGTGCTAAACCATCTCTTAGCTTCCCCGAGGCCCCAAACACTGGAGTTGCCAGAAATACCTGGTCTGTTCAGGCCAAAGGGGCTTTGAGGAAGCTGGGGTTGGGGGATGCCAGTCTTTGTCCATGGGGGCCCACAGGGCAGAGCAGGGATTGGATCAGCCCAGTGCCCTGTGTGGTCCAGCCCAGACTGCAGGCGCCTCATCCCTGGCCCTGGAGCACAGGTGGGGGACAGCCGTCTGGCCAGGGCTGTATTCCTGCAGCCACCCCTTACTAGCCCCTGCCGCCCATCAGCTGTTCTCATGTTTAGGCGATGGAAGCCTTCCTGCCAGGAAATTCCCAGAGTTCCTGTACCATGAAATCAGCTTGTGGCCATCCTGGGATACAAAGCCGGGTACCCTGGGGAGAGTGCTCTGGGCCTTGGGCCAGGTTTGTCTAAGAGTCATAGATGGCCTGCGACTAGTGAAGCCAGCCAGGGAGGGGTGAGGCTCAGCCGCTGCTGGTCACGGGTGCACCATGGCTGTGCGCCGAGCACCTACTGTGTGCCAGGCTCCGAATTCACTGCTTGATTTATAGATACTGCCTTTTACTCTTCAAGAAACAAGGGACAGGTGCTTGGTATTGTTATTTCCATTTTACAGATGAGAAAACTGAGACTCAGAGAGGCAAAGTCACTGAAATTAAGTGCTAGGTCTGGGATTTTAATCCACAACCCAAGCTCTGAACCTCCTGCTCCACTGCCACTGAGCTGTTTATTTCATTCATTCATTCTTCAATTATTGAATCATCAAATGCATCAGCAGATATCCAATGAGCATATCCTATGTGCCAAACTCTGTTCTGACCTCTGACGATATAGCTGTGAATGAAAAATCTGTGAGGAGGGAGTTCCCTGGCAGAGGCACCAGCTGGGGCAAAGGCTCAGAGGTGGGACTGAACTCCGTGCATTCAAAAAAACAGCAAAGCTGTCAGTGTGGCTGGGGTAGGGCAGTGAGAAGGGCAGGCAGTGAGGCCCAGAGGTAGCAGGGGAAGCAGGACTTTGGTTTTATTCTAAGGAGAGCGTGGAGGGCAGAGCAGGGAAGCCAGGGGAATCTATTTAAAAGGATCCCAAATCTATTTAAAAGGATTCCCAAATGAGGGGGAAGGCAGAGCCTCTGAGGAGAAGGGTTGTTGGGAGGCTAAGAGATGATGGGGACTTGCCCTCCCCAGGGCAGGCCACTTGGAAGAGGTGGCTGTTCACCTGGGTCCTGAAGTGCAGGTGTGTCCAGGATGGGGCACATTATGCTGTGAGCACAGGTGCCCTAGTGGGAACCATTAAGATTTAGCTCATGTGGTCTTCAGACAACAACCTCAAGAGGCAGTCCTAATGTGAGCCCATTTTGCCGATGCTGAGACTGAGGCTGAATATGGGTGATTTAAAGGGACCTTCTTGGAACCTTCAAAGAGCAGGGCCTTTGTCCTTGGGCTTAGAGGGTGGGGGTTCTATCTGGTGAGAGTTAGGGAGGAGCAGGACTGGGCAGATTCTAGGCTCTGGAGTGAGGGTGGGGCCGCAGTGCGGGGCCTGGCCATGAATGTAGACAGCCTGGCTCCGGTGCCCACACTGCTTCCACCCACCATGTTGGCTGCCCTGAGGGCTGCCTGATGGCTGCTCCCCATGAAGAGTGACCTCTCTGAGCTTCATAGGAGACACTTCTGTAATGTCCCTACCCACTCAATACTTCACGCAGGGTTGAGGGGTGCAGTGCCTGAGCGGAGGCTTCAGGACTATGTAGAACTCTGGGAGCAGACATATGCAGGTAGCCTAAGCACCCTGGCAGCCTCCTGCATTCCCCACCCCAGGGCGTGCAAGCTGCGTGGGTTTCTCATGAGACAGCGGGACAGAGCCAGAGCTCAGTGGTGGAGAGGACCCAGGGCCAAAAGGCCTGGCTGCTTTGGGCCATCATTGCTGGGTCAGTGACACCTGTGAGGCCAAGGTGCTTGAAGGAGGATCCCCTCCACCCCCACACCCATCACCAGGGGTGCTGGGGGAGTGGGGGGGCAGCTTCTCAGGGACATCTGTCTTTGAGCTGGGCTCTGCTGCACGGGCAGGAGTTGCATGTTTCTGTTCAGAGCTGTGTGCCCTTTGGCCTCTTTGTGCCTCAGTTTCCTCACCTATAAAATGGGGACATGGTAGTACCTCCTCATTGGCCCTGTGGGGAGTGGCCGGGAGAGCACAGGAAGGAGCATCTGACTGCTGGGCTTGAGATCCTGTGTTATCTTCCCCCCGGGCAGAGGGAGAAAGGGACCAGTTCCTGGGTGTGTCCTTCGAGGCATATAGCCCCCCATCCCCATCTCCACAACCAACTACCTCCTCCCCAGCCGAGGCTTAAGGAGCAGACCCAGACTCCCTGAGCCCCCAGCAGCCCTGCTCCATTCCCTCCCTACTCCACCCCCTTCCTGATCTGGAACATTCCAGATTCTTCCGGAGAGTGACCAGAAATGGTCCCCACCCCTACCTTATCCCTGGGGTGGAAGGAGGCTATCAGCCCCTCCTGCTTCTCAGCCTCAGGCCAGTCAGGCCTTGACTGGCAGGGTCCACCTCCACCCTCCTGCCTCTCGCCTGTGGCCCGAATCTCCGGCTGGACCCAGGAGGAGGGCATGGGAGACCACAGGGAGGAGACTGGAGCTCAGCTGGAGCTCGCTGGACGCCAGGCCCTTCTAAGTGCTCTCCCTGCACTGCCTCAGTACTCTAAGAAGCCACATGAGATGAGCATTTGTGGTTCCTGACTTACTGAGGAGGAAATGCAGAATACAGAGGGAGTGTGACCTTGTCTGCGGCTCTGCGCCTCCACTCCTAAGTGGTGGCTCAGGTTCCATCCCCGGCAGGCTGGCTCCCGAGTGCCCCTCCATGGCTGCCCTTCACCAGCTGCTGCACGGAGCTCACGGCGGGTCTAGGGGACAGGGCAGGAGCCACTCCGAGGCTTCCAGGGACTGAGGCCAGGAAGGGTGGTGGCTGTACCCTGAGAGGGCAGGGACATCGCAGAAGTTAGACCTGGGTTTGAATCCCAGCTCCGCCACTGCAGACTCTGCCCTGGGCAGCTGTCCCCACCACTCTGAGCCTCTGTTTCCTCACCGGGAGGATGGGTCAGACCCCTGGCTCGTGGGCTGTGGAGGCTTGACTCCTGTCCGCTGGTTCTCACCTTTCGTCCAGCTCCTGCTCTGTGCAGAGCTCTGCAGACTCCGCTGTGAACATGGCCTGTCCCTGTCCCCGCAGTTTCCAAGACCTAGAGAGAAGCCCCGAAGACCACCTTCCACTCATTAGGTTGGGGAGGGTCACAGGAGTCAGACTCATGCCCCTGAGAGGATGTTTCCAGGTGCGCCAGGGATAGGAGAGGGCGGGGCCTCCCACAGTACTGTGAAATTTGGTCAGTGAAGCCCCTGAAACACCAGGACCACCCTCCTGCCCCCCACAGCCCAATCTCAGAACAGCCAGGTCCTTGGCTATTCAGGATGGTGACCAGCCTCATGATGAGGACCCCCTCACCCACCCACCTCGGAGACTCACTGCCTCCCCTCTGACCAGGAGTGGCTACCCTGGGGCTACAGCTAAGTGGCCACAAGCACAGTTTTACAGTCAGACCAAGTTCTGGTCCAGCCTCCATCAAATGGAGCTGTGTGACCTTAGGTAAGTGGCTCAAGCTCTCTGAGTCTTCCGCCCAGCTCCTGAATCCTTAAGCAGAGGCCCAAAGAGGACTGGGCCACATGGCCCCAGCCAAGGTTTCAGAAAAAACTTGTTTGCTGAGGTTCTGGTCTGAGGCCAGGGACCCACCTTGTTGGGACTCAGAGCACAAGACATATAGGCTCAGCGCAGCCCACAGCCCCACAAGGCTGAGCTGCTTTCCAAGGAGCTGCAGCCCTGTCCATCCCCTCCCTGTAGCTGGAGACTTGTTCTTGAGCTCTGAGATGTCCCCACTCGGCACTGAGGGGGCTCTCACCACCCCACATCACTGCAAGGGACAGACCTGGCTGGAGGTCCCTCAGGCAGGCCTGGCTCTGTCCTTTCCCTCAGGGCATCTCTAGGCCTGTCTTTGGTGCATCAGGACCAAGGGAAAGGCATCAATGAGGTGGACCTGTTCCCACAGACTCTTAGCTCAAGGGCACGGCCCTGGAGCACCTGGGGTCCACTCGGGGAGGAGAGAGAGGAGGCCTGAGAGGGAGGAAGTCCTGGGGCTGCAGCCTCAGGACACACATCAGTTCTGTGAGTTTGTGGCTAAGTCTGGGTGTTCGCATGGCTCTGCCTGTGTGTGTGTTCCTGAATGTGTCTGTGTGTCTGAGCCCTGGTGCTGAGACAGGCTGGTGGCCGTGGCTGCATGTGTGAAGGCACATGCTTAAGGCACAGCATTTCTGTGACATGTGTGTGCCTCTGGTGTCACACTCTGAGCGTGCTTGTGCACCTCTGTGCATATGTGGTCTCCATGTGCCACCGGGGTCAGGGAGGGTTTCAAAGGAAATGAGAGAGAATCAGAGTCAATGCTCATTGCTCGTTCAGCCTTAAAAAGGAAGGAAATTGTGACACATGCTACACATGGATGGACCTTGAAGACATTGTGCTAAGTGACAAGTCAGTCACAAAAGGACAAATATTCTATGAATCTTCTTCTGTGAGGTCCTTAGAGTAGTCAATTCACAGAGACAGAAGGCAGAGCGGTGGGTGCCAGAGGCGGGGGGGAGGTGGACGTGGGGAGCGAGCAGTGTTTCGTAGGGGCAGAGTTCCAGCTACAGAGATGAAGATGTTTTGGAGATGAGTGGTGGCGATGGTTGCCCAACAATGTGACTACACTTGATACCACTGAACTGCACACTTAAAAATGGTTAAAATGGTAAATTTTATGTATGTTTGACTATAATTGAAAAGAAAAAAGTTAATGCTCTACACCAGAGCCAGAAAGGCCCTGGGGTCTTGCCCCTTTGACTTACCCTGGACTTGCCTAATTCCAGGCAGAAGAATGGGCTTGCTCAAGGTCACAATCAGCAAGGTCAGCTGACCCCAAGAGCAGTCTTCCTTCTTAGCCCCTCTGGGAATGTCACCCACCCCCGGCACCCCGCCCCCCGTCCCTGGGCCCTGGGCAGCTTCCTGTGGGGCCAGCCTCCCCACCACCCCTCTCTCCCAGGGGTGCTGCCCCTCCTTCAAGGCTGTTCCCTGGAAAGGATGAGATCTGTACCTATTACAGCCCCCTCCCCTGTCATGAGCTCCAAGGAGGGACCCCAAGTCAGCCTTCCCAAAGGCCTAGGTTATTCCAGAAGCTGCACCCTCTGAGCCCCCAGGTCCTCAGATTGCCCTGGGCCAGTAAGATCACAGGCAATAGGAAAGGGGACCTCTTGGGGAACCCTGCAGATGCGGCCTCTAAGTGCGGACGGGAGGGGCCTAAGGTGTTTCCGTCCTGGGTCAGTGTGGAATGTGCAGCAGTAAGTCCAGGGACCCGGCTGTTGGCTGTCACAGCTGTTTTAACTCCCACCAAAAGCTGGTAGGTTCATTAGAGAGAGGACAGTAGGAAACACAAAGGTGTTCCCTCTAGCAGCCAGCAGTCACCTTCCCTCAGAGAGAGCCTCTGAATTGGGAGTTTGGGATCGGCAGAGACAAACTGCTGTGTACAGAGTAGAGCAACAAGGCGTATAGCTCTGTATGGCACAGGGAACTGAATTCAGTGGCTTGTAGCGACCTCCAATGAAAACCGAATGTGTAACTGAATCACTGTGCTGCTCGCCAGAAATGAATACAACATTGTAAATCAACTATACTTCCATTAAAAAAAATCAGCAGAAGAGCTGGGAACAAGCCTGAGCCAGTGACACCAGGGCTAGATCAGGAAGACTGAGTGAGGTCCAGGTGTGAAGTTCAAGTTTACTCACACTGCAGAGCTGCCCAGTGGAGGAGGGGGAAGGGGGAGGGGGGTCACTTCCTGACTGGTCCCTTTCTCCAGCCCTTTTTTAGTTTTTTTTGGGGGTGGTGGTAATTAGGTTTATTTATTTATTTTTAGAGGAGGTACTGGGGATTGAACCCAGGACCTCAGGCATGCTTAGCATACACTCTACCACTTGAGCTATACCCTCCAGCCTCCAGCCCTTTATCTTTCCCAGGGGGGTCTCGCTCTTCCTCTCACCCTTTCTCACCCCACCCCCACCTATTTACAGAGAATCACAGGAATGTTAGATTGTTTGTTTACTTTACTTTTTAAAAAACTTCTATTTTCCACTCCCGTTTATAATATCAAATGAGTTTAACTATTTGAGCATCTTCCTTGCAAACCCCCCAAGAATTCACGCTGTGTGGCCCCCGACTGATTTTTGTTCTCCCAGTGGCCCTGTGGTCCTCAATTACAAGTTTCCCCACTTACACTTTACCTGCTAGTTGTGTTTGTGCAAGCTGGGTACATCTGTGTTTGTGACCCACTAGAAAAGCATATGATTTCGAGAAAGCTTTCCAGAGATCTTTTTGGAAAAGCCCAATCCTTTGATGAAAGGAATCGGAGTCTTCCAGGGATAACTTTCTATAAATCCAGATTGTCACACACCCAACCAGGTTTGGAGAAGGGCACCATGGCGGGGTGAAACAGCCAGAGCCTGGCAATTGAGGGGTGTCTGGTGGGGCACCCTGGGGCTGGGGAGGACCAGGGAGAAACTCAAGGGCAAGGCTGACCCGTGTGGGCCTGTTTCTGTGACTGCTGAACAGCCAGCTGACTGCCTGTCTGTCTGCCCTTCCATCAACAATCCTACCTTGTCTCTGCCTGCCTCTGGGTGCTATTCCAGCTGTCTGTCTGTCTGTCCACCTGACTGTCTACTCTCCTTCAGGACGCCTTCCACGCCTTTCACCAGGACCTCAGTTTCGTGCGCAAGTTTCTGCAGCCCCTGCTGATTGGAGAGCTGGCCCCGGAGGAGCCCAGCCAGGACGGACCCCAGAATGTGAGCAGGGCCATATTCTGGCTAAGCCCCCAGTGGGGACTGGAGGGGTGGGGGGCATTGCCAGTAGCAGCTCCATCCGAATCATCCCCAGGGGCCCAGGACCGAGGCTGGGTTTGCCATCCCCTCCTGGGCAGATGTTGAGGGCAGAGCTGTAGGGACACCTGTATCAGCACTTGCTAGGGGACCCCAGGCAAGCCCCTCTCCTGCTCTGGACCCTGAGTCCCCATCTACAATGAGAATTTTGATGAGCTGAGCTCTAAGGGTTTCCCTACTTCTCACACACCCCACACCTTTTGTTGGGGGAGCCTTCACTGATAGCCAGCGACCCAGCTCACACCCCAGGCTGGATGCTCTCATCCCTCCATCCCCTTCTGCCAGAGGCCTTGAGCTTGGCCCTGGGGAGGAGTGGCTGTGGGAGGCTTCTGGGGATGACTGGGGCCTCTCTGGCTTCCTCAGCTAACTGGCCACTCTGCCCTGGCAGGCCCAGCTTGTCGAGGACTTCCGAGCCCTGCGCCAGGCTGTCAAGGACATGAAGATGTTTGAGGCCAAGCCCGCCTTCTTCGCTCTCCTGCTGGGCCACATCCTGGCCATGGAGGTGCTCGCCTGGCTCACCATCTACCTCCTTGGCCCCGGCTGGGTGCCTAGCACCATCGCTGCCCTCATCCTGGTCATCTCCCAGGTGACCCCCGCACTGTCTTGCAGCCACCTAAACGGACCAACAGAAATGGGGCCTGGTACACACAGACACTCAGGACATATTTGCTTAATGAATGAATGAATGAATGAATGAACAAATGACCAGCCAGAGTCCCATAAGCCGTGTATCTGTGGGTCGAGCTGCATTTTAAATGAACTGAGGAAGCGCCTTACTTAATAAACTCAGAGGGAGCCCAGGCCCGGGAGCCAGAAGGCTGGTGTCCACAGTTCCACGACAGACTTGCAGCCCCTCAACCTCCCAAACTCAGTTGTCCTTGTCTCTTAAAAAAGGAAGCCGGCCCACAAGGGTCTAGACTGACGTGCTGGCTATGCGTGTGCCCTGGGAGCAGGGAGGGCTTGCTGGGGCTCCAGGGCTGAGCCCCACATGGCTCCCTGCCCCAGCTCCTGACCCTGCCTCTCCCCAGGCCCAGAGCTGGTATCTGCAGCACGACCTGGGCCACATGTCTGTCTTCAGGAAGTCCCAGTGGAACCATGTGGCCCAGCAGTTTGTGATGGGGCAGCTGAAGGTGAGGACGGGGTAGGCAGCCAGGGCCTGAGCTTGGGGGATTTCGCCGGGTCCGCCCAGGTGGGCCGGCATGGAGTGGTGGCCACGGCCCGGCGCCACCCCTGAGGGCCCCCCTCCCCTGCAGGGCTTCTCTGCACACTGGTGGAACTTCCGCCACTTCCGGCACCACGCCAAGCCCAACATCTTCTACAAGGACCCAGATGTGACCGTGGCGCCTGTCTTCCTGCTGGGGGAGTTGTCCATCGAGGTGCGTGGGGAGGACGGGGACACACTAGGGCTGGACCTGCAGCTGAGGGGAACTAGTCCCTGACCACGCCACCTGCTCTAGCTCCAGGCGGAGCCCCTGCCCCAGGAGCACCCCCTCCCCACCTCCCAGCCTGCCGGGGACGGTGGGCCCAGTTGCTAGAATCTAGAATCCAGCTTGGCCCTCAGCCCCCGCCAGCCCCCAACCCTGCTGGGGACGAGGAGGGCCTGGCCAGCTGCCCTCCCCAGCGGCCGCCTGTCTCCACAGTATGGCAAGAAGAAGCGCAGATACCTACCCTACAACTGCCAGCACCTGTACTTCTTCCTGAGTGAGTGTCCGCTCGTCCTCCCAGGGGCAGGGCCGGGGTGGGGACCACGCCCGGGCCGGCGCCATCCACACCACGTCCACCGATACTGGACAGAAGCCGGCACCTCCAGGCCTCTCCCAGCCTGTCTCTGGTTGCCCCGCCCGCAGCCCGTGCCCACTCCCATCGCCAGGCCTCTGCCCCAGCCGTTTGTCCACCCGGGATGCCTTCTGGCCAGAGACAGCCACAGCCTTGCCCAGGGCTTTCGGAGCTCCTTCATGCCCTCACTTCAGGGTGACCCAGAGTCCTAGGGCAATTGTTGGGCCAACAAGGATGGGGACATGTAAGCTGGCCGGGGCTAAACAGACACAGGAGGCGCTGGGGCGAGGCTCAGTCGCTGACAGACTGAGTGTGGACCAGACCTTGTGGGTGATGCGGGGTCTCCCCAGCCAGATGAGACCAGCACTAAGTCCCACTGGCGTTCCTGGAATAGCAGAGCCCCACTGCCCCCACCCCGCCCAGCCTGCTCAGTGCCCCAGCCCTGTTCCTGAGCCTCCTTATGCCTCTCCTTGCAGTTGGCCCACCGCTGCTCGTTCTGGTGAACTTTGAAGTGGAAAATCTGGCGTATGTGCTGATGTACATGCGGTGGACGGTGAGTGGGGGCCCTCCCCAGGTCCCCTGGGCATGTGACTGTGGTGGCAGGAGGTGGGGCAACAGAGGGCAGCCCTTGTCCACCAGTGCAAACAGGTGTGATTGTGTACAGGTGACAGGGTGGTACATGTGTGTGCAGGCGCACAGGGGGAGTGGGTGTGTGTGTGTTTGAAAGGGGAGAGTAAGTATGTGCACCAGGCAGGGTGTGGATCTCATGATGGGGTGTCCTCCCTGGGGGTCAGGATCCCAGGCATCCCTCCCAGGCGTTTGGTCCCAGGCAGGGGTTCCCCCATCTCACACCCCTTCCTGGCCCCTTCACCTCCATGGTCAGCCCCATGAGGCTGGCAAGGACTCTGTACCCTTACCCGGCTGAGAAAACCAGGCCCAGAGTGGAGTGAGGACATGTCCACCCGAGGCACATCAAGCAGAAGGCTGGATGACCCTGGTTCCCCCTCCTGGCTACCTCGAGTCCTCTGCCCTCCTCCACCCTCCTCTGCAGGACTTGCTCTGGGCGGCCAGCTTCTACGCTCGCTTCTTCCTGTCTTACATCCCCTTCTACGGTGTTCCTGGGGCGCTGCTCCTCTTCGTGGCTGTCAGGTATGGCCAATGCCAGCACGGCAGGGAATGAGGAGCTCACCCACAGGCAGTAGGGACCCTGACCTCAGCCCTCCATGTTCCTGTCTACAGGATGGGGACAACAGTTCTGTCTCCCTGGATGGTTGAGTGGCGGGATCCCGGGGGAGGCAGGTCTAGGGAAAGTGGCCTAGCTCACAAGTGGCCCTGTGGGTGTCCACCCTCACAAGCAGGGCTGCTCTGGGCTCAGCCCAGCAATGGGCCTGCGCTCACTGGTGCTCGATTGAAACACCAGCGGGAAGGGGCTGCTGCAATCCCATTGTACAGATGAGGAAGCTGAGGCCCAGGTCCAAGTGGTGAGCTGGACACGGGGCAGTGCCTGAGCCTCCCCTCGCAGGGTCCTGGAGAGCCACTGGTTCGTGTGGATCACACAGATGAACCACATCCCCAAGGAGATCGGCCACGAGAAGCACCGGGACTGGGCCAGCTCTCAGGTGAGCTGGGGGTGGGGCTGGGGCCCCAGCTGGGAGGGACAGGGGCCCCGATGGGGCTGCCAGGGTCAGGGGCTGCCGCAGGAGCAGGACTCCGTGCCAGCCTCCCTCACCTGTGCCCCGCCCACTCCTGGCAGCTGGCGGCCACCTGCAACGTGGAGCACTCACTCTTCATTGACTGGTTCAGCGGACACCTCAACTTCCAGATCGAGCACCAGTGAGTACAGGCCCTGGGGGCCCACGGGGGTGGGAGTGAGGCCTGAGCCCCTCTGCCCGGTCTTCCCCCCGTGAGCCCTGAACTTCCTGGAGGGCCTGAGGGAGGTGGTGAGCAGGGCCCAGATCGCAGTGGGGGATGCCGGATGGGCGGGGGTGCCAGCACACGTTCTGCCCTCGCAGCCTCTTCCCCACAATGCCGAGGCACAACTATCACAGGGTGGCCCCACTGGTCAAGGCTCTGTGCACCAAGCACGGCCTCAGCTACGAGGTGAAGCCCTTCCTCACCGCCCTGGTGGACATCATCAGGTAAGGGCCCTCTGCTCACAGGGGCTTCCCCAGGGTCCCTGCCCACCTTCTGCCTGGTCAGCCTCATCCTGAGCTCCCACCTGGCTCTCTGAGCCCACACGGGTCACTTTCTAAGAGCTGGTACTTAAGGCCTTTCGGATCAGTCTTTCTGTTCTCAGCCTGGGCCTTCCCTCCCTTCCCAGCATTTATTCACACAGCCAGGATGTAGGGAGCCCCTGCCGTGGGCCCAGGCCCCGTCCTAGGTGTGCTACGAACACATCAGTGAGCAAAACAGGCCGAGATCCCTGCCTTCCTGGGGTTGACGTCCTAGAAGGGGAAACAAAACAAGCAGTTAAAATAAGTAAATTTCAGAAAATGAGAGAAGGAGAGAAGTGCTTTGGCAAAAACAACACAAAACCACAAAACCTGAGGGTGGGGCAGGAGAGGGGATGGTGAGTGCCAGGCTGGGTTGCAGTTTTTAGTGGGGTAGCAGGATGGGTGGTATTGAGAAGGCAGCATGTGAGCAGAGACAGGGAGGAGGAGAGAGGGCTGGCCACGGAGACATCTGAAAGAAGATCATCTGGGGCAAGGGAACAGCTGTGCAAAGGACCTGAGGCAGGAGCATGCTGGTGTGTGGGAGAACCACTGAGCGGAGGAGCAACACACAGAACTTAGATTTTGGAAAGATGCTCTGACTGTGGGAGTGCACTGATGGGGCCGAAAGAGCAGAGCGAGGTTTCCTGTAGCTGTCCAGATAAGGAGTGGTGGGGCTTGGTCCCAGTGGTAGCCTTGACAGTGAGGGACAGAGGCCAGGTTCCCAGCCAAAGCTCTTCCACCTCTGTGCCTTAGCACATGCAGTTCCCTTTATTTGGATTCCCTTCATTCTATACTGGTATTTGAACTCCTGCTTCTCCTTCACGGCCTTTCCCAGTGCAGTCCTTGGACCCCTTGCCACTTGGCATGGCCCCTTTAGAACATGGGGTTTTCCAGCAAATTCTTGTTATTGCTGGTTTCTCTGCCTGATGTGAGCCTCCTGGTGGGCAGATTCCATGCCTTACAAATCTCTGGGTCACAGGGCCCAGCAGAGGAGGCAACAGAGAGAGCTGGGTGAAGGAGAGATGGCCGCCCTGGCTACTGCCTGGATTTGGCCTTAGCTATGCCTCTCCCCTGACCCAAGGTCTAGATCCCACTCCATTTAATGAGTGTAGCCTCCTCTCCAAACCCTCCCCTCCAGCCCCACCCAGCTGCCTGCCCCAGGGGAAGGGGACTCACAGGGAACTCGGACATCTCTACTCACACTCATCACTTTGGAGGGAGGGGGTTAGTATCTTGCAATCGACTCTCCCACCCCTGCCTCCCAGGTCCCTGAAGAAGTCTGGCGACATCTGGCTGGAAGCCTACCTCCACCAGTGAAGGCAGCACCCAGGGCCCCAGCAGCCACTAAACTGCCTAGGTGGGCTCGACAGCAGTCCCCAGCCCTGCCTTGCCTCAGCCTGCGGCCCCTACCCATCCTCCTGGGCTCCTCCCCAGTCTGCTCCACAGCCCTGCGGCCCTGGCCCTAGGCCCAACAGGACCAGGGCTAGAGGGGTGGTATATAAAGTCACATGGTGAGCATGGCATGTTTTCCTAGAGAAAAATTTAGGGAAAGCTGTTATTTTTCTATAAAAACAAACCCAGATATATTATGGAGTGGAGTATTGAATTTGCATGATTTTTGGAGCTGGAGTCTGCCCGAGACTCCCCGAGAGGAGCTGAGGCCCTTGGGCCATCAGATGGGGTGGGAGGGTGGGGAGTGGCTTTCTGAGTTCCCCTCTTCTGGGTGGGGGAGCTGGCCTCTGCTCCAGGCTTGGATGCCCTGAGGCCCTGGTCTCTTCCTTTCTTCACCTATTCACCAGCAACTGTGGCCGGTCACACTGGGCTCCCCTCACTTTACTCCACAGTGGGACAGGGGTTGTCAGCCGGCGAGGGCCAGGGCTGAGGGCCGTGGTTGCAGGTGCCCCAGGTGTACTGGAGGAGAAGCCCCTATGTCTTGGATCTGTACTGGCTTCCTGCAGCCTCCATGTTGAGGGGCTCAGAGGGCCCACAGGCAGTGGGCCCCCTGCTGATCTCAGTACCACACTTTGGCATCACACTGGTAGGGACCCAGCCTGGCTGTGCTCAGTGGCCTGCAGGAGGTGACACCAGATTTCCTCCATGCCTGTCTTGGGCCAGTTGCTTGCCCGCAGTTGCTGCAGAGAAGGAGTCAAGTTGGACCCCTTAGAAGTGGCTGTTTCTGTCCCTGGGATCTGAAAACAAGATACTTTCCTTTGCTAAGGCTTGGGCTCCTCATCTTGGAAAATGAGTGTGGCTGGCCTGGGCCTATGGCATGTGGACACTTCTGGGGAGGGCTTTGAGTTGCCCCTTAGAGCTTCCTGAAGGTGGGGAGGGAGAGCTGGGCTCCTGGACCCCTCCGCTCCCAGTACCCACACACTTCAGCTGCTCCAAGGTGAGTGGAAGCTTCCATTTGAAGAAATGT